GTGTACTGGATCCAGCAGACCAGTATTTTCCTTTGATGTCAGGGAGTCTTGAGTGGAACAAGACATCACAGAGTTGAATTCAGGGTCTGATAATAGGTTTTCTGAAAAACAAATCTATGCGATATTACCAGTGTTTGCACACAAGCTTTGCTATTTCAATAGTGTGATTGAAAAGGAAAGCATCTGCTGTATGAGACACAGCTTCACATTGATTATATTACAGTAGGAGCATCTAATCTTTGCCACCCCTTCTATTTTGTGGAGAAGATTGGCTGGCATGCTCATACTGACTTATACAATAATAAAGACAGACGGTCACATTGGGTGTCAGACTTAACATGCTGAGGGAACATACAGTTTTACAGGACAGACATTGTATGACTACGTAATGATGTCTCGGTTCAGCGCCTCTCACTACGGGTAGACACCAGATTCACACCCCTGCAGACACCATATGCATCACAAATAATCCATTTAAGGTAACATATCCCCAGTCGTCTATGGCAGGGCTGTTTTTTAATGGGCACTGAGTATATTTAACTTCTTATGTGTGTACCAGCTCCAACACCAGACACCCTGTCAGTAATGGACAAATGGGAGAAGGCCCTCATTTTTTGTGAGTTGACTTCTCTGATGCAAGAGCCAAGACATTTACAGTAACTGATGCCAGTGGGAGCAGCGAGCTATCAGCCTCATAAACCTCCTGTCCTATGCAATCCAAAACTCTCTTTAGTCACCTTGCTGTGTGAGTTGTTATTTAATTTTCCTTTACACAAACATTACACTGTTGATATGAACCTGTGTGCAGACAGTAGCCTATTTAATAGTAGGCACAAAGGAACATTCATTTGGAGTCATACTGAAAGATTTATTATTCCTCTAAACAGGTCATCAGTGATTCAAATATGAGGGATGCATGCCACAGACCTCATGCTGTGCAAAAAGGGATAATGAAGGTCACACAAAGCTCAGTTAGCCAAAACGATACAACAAACCTACAAGCGACTGCCAGGAGGTATCTCCCTACTGTGGCTCTGCAACAAAACACTGTCAAAGGGAACATTGCAACAACTTTGGAAGACACCCACTTGATATGTTCAACTCTTTTAGCACACAAATGGCATGTGAGTGGTGTGTCTGAGAACAAGGCTGGCAAGATTCTTTATTCTGAATAAAAGGATCAGTTTGTTGTTGATTTGTGTCATGATCATGTGTCTCTGTTTGTTTTCTGTTTGATCCTGAAGCTCCATTTATCATGTGTCGTGTCTTGTTTTACTTCCTGTCTTTGTGTGATTGTTTACCCCACTGGGATGAGTGTCACCTTCCATGCTGTCACCTGTCCCTGGTTTGTTTTCTGGAGCCAGCTTTTCCCATTAAAGCTCGCTTTTTGTTCATCTAACCTTGATGTCTGGAGTCCTGCATTTGTGTCCTCTGTTGAACTGAAACCTGACAATTTGGGGATTTGCTAACCAAAAAAATACAGTAGAATATCACTCGACTTGTGTGTTGAATGTTTTTTCAAAGCCTTTCATTTCAACAGATGGGGCAGCTCTTCAGATTTTGTTCAAGAAAAACTGTTATTTCCCTTGTGACAGGAACTGGTGCTGTTCTGGTGCTCTGCAATGAATCTGACTTTGTACTACTGCTGCAGGGGAGCGCTTCACAGGTCGTTACTGGTTTTCGTGAGCAGCCTGCTGATGGGATGTGTGGGGGGTGTCACATATTCACAGTTCACGAACTTCTTTAGTAACTACCACATGACTTAGCACAGCATACCTGCAGGAGCGGTTTCTTTCATCTCTGCAAGACCAGACTACACTCCCACTGAAATGCAGTGATTAAAAGCATCCACTCCAGTGTGTCAAACCTCAGAGCTGACCTTTTACGATGAGAGCCAGTCCATTTAGTGAGTAAACAAAACGCAAAACAAGTGGCATGCTATCAGCACAGGACGAACAAAGGAGCTGTAAAGCACAGTTTGTATTGAATTCATGTTATTATCATTGATTTTGCTCTGTGTGGCTCAACTGTTTCTTTGCTGCCTTCCAGTTTTTATCACCTGTTGCATTTTGTAATAGGAAAGCAAAAGTTTAAAAAAAAAAAAAGAAACTAATATGAATCTTTATTTACATATGTTAATAGGTGGCAGCACAACTTAAACTTCACATACTGCATCAGAACCATAATGGTGAGTGACAAAAGGCTATGACACATAAATGTCAATTTACTCCTGACAACTAAGATCAATTTTTCCCTTACATGAAACCCCCCTCGCTGTGGGACTTTCCACTCTTCCATTAAAAATCACTCATCTACATAAATCAGATTGATGATCTTCAAAGGCAACAACCAAAATCTTTTTATTATGTCTGAAAAACAACATGCTGCTAAACCCCTGGGTGATATGTTATTCTGTTACTGTGGTTGGATAATCACACCAGAGACTTTGATAAATGAATCTAATCAAATTACTTTCTCACAGGAAGAATTCAGCAGGAGAATCACTTGATTTAAAGCCTGTGTTGAGGACTGATATGAAAACCTGGTGAAATATGATATCCCTCCTACCAGCACTGTTTGTGTCACAAATATTTCTGCCACTCTGTAAAGGGCATGGCATCTGTGTATTTCATTGTTTCGAATGATTCTACGTACGTTCTTTAATTTACTGAGTAATGGAGAAGCTGATTCTATCAAGAAATCTGGGGCTGAGGCACAAATAAAGAACAGCAGTTACCATGTTAGTCCTTAGGATCTTGAAGTGAGAGTATCGAGGAAGGATATACATACGACTAAGGATAGACCGATACATCGGCCGGCTGATATATCGGGCCGATATTTGAGTTTTTTACTTGTATCGGCATCGGCCGATACGCGCGTGGGTTCGCGGATTTATTTTTCCCTGGCATGATTTACAGACAGGCATCCACGGGCAGCTCTGTGTTGCCGGAAGACCCTGCAGCGCACATGCAGCGAATCCTACTGTGTACAGTAGTTGTTGTTTTATTTATGCTTCAGCTTAAATATTTGTTTATTTTATAAAGACATTACTGGAAGATTTAAGAGCACTGAACTCTTTTTTTTATTTGAATGTATAATAATAATAATAATATTCTACCTGTTCTACCTCAACTTTCCATCTTGTTTTAGTATTTTTTACTGTTCAATAAATGTTTCTTATTTTAAACTTGAGACCTGTAATATTTGTTATCATTGTGTCATTTTTTTGATGTAAATTGAGGGAGCAAAAGCAGTATCGGCCCCAAATACCGGCTCAAGAAAATCGGTAGTCCATAATCAGTTATCGGCTAAGGGTGATGGAAAAAAATCGGTATCGGCATCGGCCCTAAAAAATCCATATCGGTCTATCCCTACATACGACCAGAACAAAAAGAAATCTCTTAAATCAAAGGAAGTTCTGTTCATTGAGCACAGAGGAAAATGTTCCCATATTTACTGACTGTGCCTCATTAACTCTGAGGAACAGATTGGACAAGACGAGAGAGCAAAAGCATCAACACTTATCTGTGCTCAACCCATTTGTAGTCTTGTCAGGTTTTGTATGAAATTTCATGGTAGCCTGAAACAGAAGTGAAATAGAACCTCTTTGCTTGGAAAGAGTGACTTTTATTCAAAGTGATGCTTAAGATGTGCATAAATACACTGTGGCGCAGTGAGAGAGCAGAGGACAGAGGACAGACATGTTTTGAGCTCAGTGCTCTTTTCAGGCATCACCAAGCACAGAGAAGGAGCACTGAGCCTGCCATATCTGCATGTTAGATCTAAGCCAACATTATGTTTATCTTCTGCTCACCATGTGTTTCTGCTTATTTATGCTCATCTAAAGCCTCAACCACAAAATGTTCACCCCCCCGAGCGAGGACCATCCAATCTTTTTTACTTTAGATTACTCTCTGAACATGTGGAGATATTTTTCCCAGTGGCTGGTGGACCGAGCCATCGCTAAAAAGCCTGTAAGTATTAGATACAAACATTATGTTAGGAGGCCAGAAGCACATCTCCAGTGGGAAACCCATTTCGCTCTGTTTCTGCTGGATATGCTGCCTCCAGAAAGAAAATAGGCTTGTTCCCCCTGGACAAAAACCCCTACTAACATCTGCTAACATCTGGCATTTGTATTTGATGGGAAAGGCCACAATCCACATTCACTCCTGGGACACATGACTCTGCATTTTAGCCCCTTTGGCGGTGCGATATGCCACAAAATACTGTCCATCTCTGTCCAACCAGCACTTGGACATTGCTAAAAATTTAGTCTGCATTGAGTTTGAGAAAGAGACAAAATAAGAACCCTGAGAGATATAAAAAAAAGAAGTAACCACCGTACCATTTTCACTTGCCTCCATGCTGCTTTCTGCTGTTTACTAACCTGTTTTCTGGTTAAAAACTGGTATACACATGCTAATTTTGTTAGAATAGGGGTACAACACCATGTCATGTTTTCTATGGATACTGGCAACAACATCCACAAATGCACTGTTAGACAGTCAAATACATGTAAATGTCCCTAACTTTGATTGTAGCATTGTGTTATTTCCTACTTTAGTTTGCAAGAAATAAGTCATATTGCGAACGTGATGTTGTAAAATCCTCAGAGAATAATAACTGTTTTTTTATTTGCTGGGTCTTCAACTTGCTCTTGTTTGGAATGCATTTTCTCACTGACACCCTACAGTCGTAAACACACACAGCCTCTTGCAGTGTTTATCTAGAGGGCTATTTTTGGCCAGCATGCAGTTTGAAGTCAGCAGTTATTTTCTTGTCCCCATTACACCTGGACAAGATGAAATCAGGGCCATTTATTTGGACTCTGTCTGCCCCCTATAGGTCAAATATGACTTAGCGCAGCTTTAAATAGAAGCTACAATTCATCTACAGTCTAACAACCATTATCATCATTCAGTGACTCATGAGTTTGATTCTAAATTTGCAAGTGTGTGTGTACGTGCATGTGTGTGTGTGTGTGTGTGTGTGTGTACCATGAGACTGGTCCTCCATGTGTCCCAGAGTTTCAATCTGCTCCACCAGGTCATTTGAGTTCCACTGACTCATGCCCAGCAGAATGGCGCTCTTGCCCTCCATAACATCTGCTGGGACACACACACACACACACACACACACACACAAAGACGAGTAAGACAGTGCAGCACAGACAAAATCCCATTCCTGTCTCTGCATATCAATAACATGGAAACTCAGTTGGCCTCATTCACCAGTATCTTCCTATTTTTTTCCCCTAAATTTGTTCATGAGAAAGGTCCTCGGATAAGTCTCCGACAGAACTGTTCTCACCTGTGGCCTTGTACTGATGAATCCTATTGTCCTTGTTAATTGAAAGCGCCTGCCAGTTGATTCCAATTAGCATAGGTTAACGTCCCGCCAATCCCCATAAAAGGTTATGAGACCGTAGGACCGTGTGCACACACACAAATTGAAAAGAAAAGTTGAGAGAATTAGGTCAAAAATGCCCCAATTAAAGACCAAAGAAGGTGAAGCACCATACTCCAAACATAAAAAAAAAAAACTTCAATCATGCCAAAGTGGAGGTACCTCTGCAGGAAGTGAAGGCAGAACAAGCTGTCATATTTAATAGCGTCAGTAGTGGATATAAAATAACATGCTGTGGATGCTGTTCCCAAAGAAGGGCACACAACTGATGAAGTAAAAGAAAAAAAGGTTTGATCTTAAATCTGAAGCCGTAAAAATACATATATATATATATATATATATATATATATAATGCCACACACAGAAGAGAGTTCCTGACCACCGGAGGGGGACAGACTTGCCCTCGTCACTCTCTGCAAATAGATCTACACGTGCCAAGAAGATTCATTCCCTCCTTGGAGCACAGTCTGGAACATCTTGCAATAACAGTAAATATGACATTGTGTGAGTAGGCCTAAGTTGAAGATATAGGCCTACTTTGGGCCTATAAATAGCGTGATCGATCACTTATTGGATGCCGTGGTTACCAATTAACATTACTGATGTGAACTGAAGAGTTAGTGCAGAGTCTATTTATTTTGAAAGAACATAGTGCTTCTTGAAATAATGAATATAGTCATAAAAATATTAAAAATGAGAGGAAATATTATTATAATTTAATTAATATACTATTATACTACTGTACATGTTGGCACTTAAATGTGCACAAGTGTGCTCTTGAATGTATGCAGATCCTGTGCCAAATAAGAAAACACTGGTGAATGTTGGAATCTTTGTGAAAACAGCGTAAATGGGTTTTAAGAAGAATCCTTTTTTAAGAACGGGTGGTGAATGAGGCCCGCTGTTCTTGAAATTGAACGGATCAAAGCTACACAGGTGTTTTCATTTATTTTGCCAGACTTAAAGGGATAGTGCACCCAAAAATGAAAATTTAGCCATTATCTACTCATCCATATGCCATATGGCGCCCCAAATTCAAACGTCCAAAAACACATAATTGAAACCACAAAATATCTCCATATTGCCTGTCCGTAGTGATCCAACTATCCTGAAGCCCTGACATAAAAAGTTGTTTGGAAAAAACGTCATTTGAACTCTTTTTTTAGCCTAATTGTAGCCTGCAGCTCTAACTGCCTCTCTGTACACCACGCTCACATGTGCACGCTCGAGACCAGCGAAAGCATGTAAAAACACATGAACGCAGTGCCCATGTCTCATGGTCTTGCGCAAGCACACACACAAGATATTTTGTGGTTTCAATTATGTGTTTTTGGACGTTTGAATCTGGGGCGCCGTAAGCCTCCATTAGGTGGAGTTGTGTTGCTACCCCCTCTCCCCTTGGATCTCTGCAAGTGATGTGAGGACTCTAAAACTTCACTTGAGCCTCCCTCGGCATATGGGTGAGTAGATAATGGCTGAATTTTCATTTTTGGGTGCACTATCCCTTTAACATCTTCTCAAATGCCTGATATCTACCTCACTCTCATGTAAGTTTTGTGGCACCTGTTGGGACCTTTACCAGATGGTGCACCTCAGAACCGGACTAACAGAGTTCTGATTTGTGCCAGTTGGGCCTGGTTTCCACTCCATTTAAATCTGGCTTACCAAACACGCTGCTTGTGCCAACCTGAATAAACAGCTTAATGTGCAGCAAGTATACAAAACAACAACCACATGACGTCCAACAACATGGCAACCAACAGAGTCTGGTAACCACAAATCGTGTCATTGCTGAACACAAATGAAAAAGCTATTGTGCTGCCTAGTAAGCTCGTCAAAGATAAAATGTGACTTTGGCCCGGCTGATGTGGACACAGATTAATTACACCCTAAAGACAGTGGTGTAACATGTTTAAGCTGCCTACCAGATATTTATTTGTATTCTGTGCTCCATGGGAAGTGTTATCACACCCTCAGCCACACTACTGGCTGCTGTTTGATGATTAGCTGATAAAGATTCAGTGTCATATGTGCTGCATCATGTGCTGCCTGCGCTGCATTTAAAGGTATCCTGTGGAGTTTCCTTGTAAACAAACGCTGTTGTGTTTACATTCACTGTTCCTTGCAAAAACGCAGCAGGTATAACCCTGAGACCAGACAAAGCTTGTTTATTTATTAAATATAATGAAACCTGCAGTCTTTCTGCTGACAATCTATTACTTCCCACAGTGATACATTCATTGGCACTTTACTGCCATCGGCTATGGAGTGTGAAACCACGTGTCCTCGTACATGTGATAGTAGAGCATGAGACACAAGCAAAACAGGACCTCATCAAAACATTGTTTCCTCAGGCCACTAGTGGTCGAAAAAACCCACACCACTAAAACAGAGTTATTGTCACAGCTCTGGCCATCTGCACTGTAATTGCTGATATCTCTGAACTTGGCAACATTGCTAAAACAAACATTCTTCAGGGCAATAAACATGAACTGAATGTACAAACAGGTTGTAAACAAAACCCCAGGCTTGTCAAATATATTTGGGAGAGAAAGAGAGGGTAAAATCATTGCCAAGACCGTCCACCTCAGTTCACAGCCCAACTGCCTCATTCAAATCTGACCCATCGTGCTTGCCATAGTTGTGAACTTTTTTTTATTTCCAAATAAAGTGGTAGACAATGTGTCTAGACTGCTGGCTTGTTTACAACCTGTATGACTGTCTGACTCCTTGTTGGGCCTATTTCATCACATCCTCACTCCCAACTCATCAAATACTGATGCTTGGTCAGTGGCTCTACATGTTAAACTATGACATTCAAGGAACCCCTACAATGTCAGTTTGGCATGTCTTTTTAAAATAAACCTAAATGTAGATTTTAAAAAAAGCCCTGTGTCCAGATAGCGTACTTCTTCAGCAGATTAGCAGTGGCAGGGAACTGGGGAGTGATTCATCCCAGCTCTAGATGTGCTCTGCAAGAGTATGTTTCTATGACAACAATATCTTCGCACTAACTTTAGCTAGGTAGCTAATGTAATGTAACATTACACAGTCAACATCTAGCTTACAAAGCGAAGGGTGATAAAAGCTCAACAGTAACATTCAGTCTGCTCCCAAAAAATAAGCTTTTTTGTCTTTGTTTTGACAGACCGTAGTCTAGCTAAAGAAGCAGCAGTGACATCACCAGCGCCTTTCTGAAAATAATTTTATAACTGGATGGCTCAGAGTGGCTGCACAAAAAAGTCAGAGTGCTCTGAAAAAAGACGCTGGGCACAGTACTTTTTCTTCAGGCAGCCTCATGTAGCCACTTATGCTCTTCATCTCATGGGGAACAAAAAAGACTCTGGGACTGAGAAAAAAACTCTACGTGGACACAGGCCCTTAGGTTTAGAAAAAAAACCATAATGGTTTGGCTTAAAATTAGTGTGTTTCTTACTAATGTAATGTCACGCCATGTGGCATGCATCACATACGTCACATGACATACATCATTATTATTGTACGCTACACATATTAGCACACTGCATCATTATTAGTATTACTCGATTGGCTTTTGGTTTCACAGGGGACACAAACAGCTGTCTGCCGGGTTAAAGCCTGGAGTTCGTTTGACCCATCTACATCCCCTCCCGCCTGTCCTGTGTGAACCTTCTTACTACGGCAGTTGCTTGAACCATCAGAAAAAGCTGCTGCCTAGAATATTTCATACCACCAAAAGGTTCCTTGGTGTGCAGGTATCAGACGCTGAGGGCCCCTGACCCAGTGTTGGTATTTGCAAGTTGAGAGTAAGACCAGGTTGCCTAGTTTTAGAGATACATTCCAAGATCTTTGGTGAGTACAGGGCTACAATTGCTACGAAAATAAAACCCAAGACAAAGAAAAACATATTTTTTCCTTCAGCATGTTTTCCTGCCCTTCCAATGCACCTACCGAGCCAGATGAAATTAAGCCATTCTCATCCTTACATAGAGATTGGTGATCTCATACAATTCCCAGCAGAGCTCCACCTAAATTATGCCTCACCGGAGGTCTAAAGAGTCATCAAAACTGACAACATTAGTGTTGGCGGCCCTTTAAAACATGGACTCACTACATTGTCATGGTGTTTGCTGGGGTCTATTGTATGTCAACCAAGAAGACATGCTCGGTATTCTGTTTGGTTCAGCATGACCAAAACGGTTGTCTGCTCAGCACAGACATTCATCCAAGACAGTCTGACACAGGATGAGTCACGCAGGAAGAAACCCCACTATCTGACAGACTTCTCTCTTCTCTCACACATTCCTGCCTAGCAGCTCTGACGCGGGTCTGCACTGCCTGTCCATTTGGATCACACAGCAAGCGGTCTACCGGTCACAGTTTGTCTTTCGCTATCTGCTCTGACTCCCTCTCCCCTTTGGTGCCCTCTCCTCCCTCTGGTCAGACAACACCGAGCCGAATGTAATAATGCAGGGACACAGCACACACACTCGCAGATTCAAACGTACACAGACGATCACAAAGAAGCCATAGAGGAGCGAGAAAGAGACAAGCAGAGGGATGCATATTGGATCTGAACAAAGCTTTGCAGGATGTAAGAAAGCCGATGTTTGGGCAGGAGGAGAATGCAAAGCAGGCTTTACACCCTGAGGTTAAAAGCAGGTTACTGAATCATCTCCTGGAGGGAGAGCTGAGCAGAGACGCTCGCAGCCAAACTGGCTGG